CTACTGCTGCAATACTCTGCTAGGGGTTAATCCTCAAAACCCTAACAGAGGTCATCTAGTCCCACCCGCTACTCGATCAGGAGACCCTGATGGAATCATAGGATAGTGACCTTCTAGTGACTAGTCCAACCTCCTGCTTGAACAGGAAACCCCTACAGAATCATAGAAGAACAGGGATGGAAGGGACCTTGGAGGTCATCTAGTCCCACCCGCTGCTCGAGCAGGAGACCCTGACGGAATCCTGGAATCATGGAAGGGACCTTGGAGGTTATCTAGTCCAACCCCCATTCGAGGAGAAGATCCTTAAAAGAATCATGGAACAACAGAAGGAACCTTGGAGGTCATCTAGTCCAACCCGCTGCTCGAGCAGAAGACCCTGACGGAATTATAGGATGATGGAAGAGACCTTGGAGGTCTTCTAGTCCAACCACCCTGCTCAAGCAGGCGGCCTTATACCGTCAGGTTGCTTCTCTGCTCAGTTAGTTTACCTCTGCCGCTTCTTGCCCTGCCCGCTGATGATTTGGAGAAGAGGTGGACCCCCCCTCGCCCTCACGTTTCTCTCGTTTCTTTTTATTAGGTGGATAGAGATAGATAGATGATAGATAGAGATAGATAGAGATGATAGAGGTAGATAGATAGAGGTAGATAGATTATATAGAGATAGATAGATAGATAGATAGATAGATAGATAGATAGATAGATAGATAGATAGATAGATAGATAGATAGGAGATAATGATAGATAAGACATTAGAGAGAGAGAGAGATAATAGAGATGATGGATGATGTAGATACAGAGATATAGTTAGATGATAGAGATATATAGATGATAGATATATAGATTAGATTAGATAGATAGATAGATAGATAGATAGATAGATAGATAGATAGGAGATAATGATAGATAAGACATGATAGAGAGAGAGAGAGAGATAATAGAGATGATGGATGATGTAGATAGAGATATAGTTAGATGATAGAGATATATAGATGATAGAGATATATAGATTAGATTAGATTAGATTAGATAGATAGATAAATAGGAGATAATGATAGATGACATGATAGAGAGAGATATATATAGAAATAATAGAGATGATGGATGATGTAGATACAGAGATATAGTTAGATGATAGAGATATATAGATGATAGAGATATATAGATTAGATTAGATTAGATTAGATAGATAGATAGATAGATAGATAGATAGATAGATAGA